GCAGCGGCGGCGGCGGCGGCGGCCGCGACGTCAAGCGGCTGCGTCTATACCACTTGGACGCAGTGACGCGCAGGGGCCTGTTGTCGTACGTTACCGAGCAGTGTGTGGCCCGGTTGCCCCGTGGCTGTGCCTCTTCCGAGCCTCACGTTTGCGTTGGGCACTGCTGCCGTATTTACTGGGCCGACGATTACGAATGGTACGACGCTGACGTACAGGCGTACGACGCGGGGACTGGACGCCACTTTTTATGGTACCACGCGGACGAGGCGACAGAGTGGATTGACCTCAGCGCGGAGGAGCGGGAGGGCCGAGTGCAGTGGCTGCCGTACAACACGGACCCAGAGGACTGGCCGCCGCCGCCGCCGCCACCACCTCCGCCACCGCTCCCGCCACCGCCGAGGCCATCGGCGGTGGGCCGCGGCATCGGCGGTGGCGGCGGCGGCGTCGGAAGGTCGGCCGCCAGCGGGACTCGCGCCGCGACGCCCGCTCCCGCCACATCTGCGGCAGCATCGCCGGCGCTGACGGCGTACGGCATGGAGGTGCAGGTAGCGGCGCAGCAGGCAGCACCGGCGGCGGTACCGGAACAGGAGGGTGGCGAGGAGGCAGAGGAAGAGTCTGCTGAACCGCCATCGGGTATGTCTGTCTGTCTGTCTGTCTGTCTGCCGGTCGATGTATGCATGTATGTATATGTGCTCCATGTGATGTGTTACTTTGGGGGAGACCAGCGGACCGCTCGCCGTCGGTAATTTGGGTTTGGTTGGTATGACGGGGTGCAGCCTCGGCAGCCCGCAGGGTTTTGCCTAACGTACGAACGGCGAATGGAAATGTCCTACGTACGGAAACCAATATCCGTACGCGCCTCTCTGTCTTGCGGAGACCCTGAGCCCCTAGCCGCTCATCTTAGCACGCGGTCACACTCCCACTCCCACTCATTCAACACACTCCTAGTAGCTCACACTGCCGCTGCCGCTGCCGCTGCCGCTGCCGCTGCTGCAGGCGGTACCGACGCCGTCGGCTGGCGGATCCGCTGCATCGTACCCAACCCCGACACCGTTGCCGCTACTGCTGGGGCTACTGCAACACCGCCGTCGGCGGCGCCGCCGCCGTCCTTCACCTGCCTTATCAAGGCGTACGACGAGGCCGCTAGTACCCATGCCGTTGAGCTAGAGACCGGCGCTGCTGACGTGTTGAAGCTGTCGCAGCTGGCGGTGAAATGGCTCGCGTGCGGCGAGGCGGCGCGTCAGGCGCACGACAGGTTGGTGGCGGCGCACAGGGACCGTCGCGAGGCGGAGGAGGCAGCGGCGGCCGCCGCCGCCGCGGCGGTGGCGGAGCGGCGGCGCAACGCGCCCGCGGAGATCCCCGTTGTGTGCAACGGAGTCGTCGGAAGCTTCTTGGTGCACAGCGGCTTGGTTCGTACGGCAGACGGCAGGTCCGTCTCGCCGACGGAGTTCGAGAGGTCTGCGGGCAAGGCGGCATCTAAGAAGTGGAAGGTGTGTGACGGTGTGCTTGCGTGTGTGTTTACGACCTGGTAGCTGCCTGCCAGACGGTAATGGTGCGAAGGGGGTTGGTACGGGGGTAAGAAGTTCACTGAAGCTGGCTCAGTATTCGTTTG